AGAGTTCCACCACGGTACCTATATGGGAAGACTCTAGAAGGGTCCAAAAACCACGTCACCGAAGAGGAGGGCCACCCCCTGATAGGTGGGGCCGCCTAGCCTCTTGGTGGGGCCGCCCAGCCCCCTGGGCCCACCTGTCAGCTAGCTTCGTATGTCGGTCTCCCATCGCCTTTGAGGATGCATCTAGGCCATTGCTTAAGTCGGTTTGATTCAAGGGCTCACGTTGGACTCTCAGAGCTATATAATCCAGCCCCTGCCTCTCCCTCCAAGCATAACCCTAGTCATCAAGTCATTTGAGAAGATAGAAACCCTAATCTCCTCAGTGCTCCTTCTCCTCCATAGCATAGCTAGTTAGGATAGATCTAGAGGGAGGCAAGCAGGACTTTGCTTGGATTTCCGATCTTGTCAAGAGCGTGGTTCGGTATAAACTTTGTACCCCTCTCTCTCTTGTTTCTCCATTGTTTTTATATGCAAGTTACAATTGTTATGACAATCTCAGTGTTCATCTTATTCATGTGCTTCATTACGATGTTCAACGTCTACTTTGATTATATATTTAGTATAGCTAGTTTATCATTGTGTTTATGCATAAGTTCGTATAGCGCTCACTCTGATGAACACGGGGTGGGTGGTCGACATTGTGTAAGCATGGTGCTTATACGTTGTTTACCTATGGATACACCCTATATTCTAGATCATGTGGTAGATCACGGATGTGACACTCCCGTTGAGTCCTTTGTAGTCCACTCCACGAATATAGGTGCAAGTAGGGTTCTATTACGAAGGTAGAATGAGCTCCGCCCTCAATCTTCCTTGGTAATATCCCTTAGGTGTAGATATGATAATAATCTTAGCCATGATTACTAGGAATTATTCCTCTAATACTCTACCTGATCATGCTAATGCTATAAAAAGGAGTGCTCTGAGTGATTTATCATTGTCATTACTTATCATTTATACATCTCTCATTTTATAACTTGCCCCTGTTATGAGTAGAATATTGGCTATGGTTTATTTCTCCTTCAATAGTATTAGTTATCAATACATATCCATGCTAGACCTTCCCAGTGGTACAAATATAAATAATGATACTTGGAATACTCTTGGGTAAAATGCTAGAACGGTATATTATTTGTGCGCTTGCAGATACTTTGTATTCATAGAGTTATATATATTCTCTCTAGTTACTTGCATTAATAAGAACTGCTTAGTGTTATTCTAGTAATATTATGTAGTGCCAACACATATCTCTAGCATCATCACTATGGATGACAACCTAGTAAAGCTAGGAGGTACATGTTTATAAAAGGTGGCTAAGTATTTAAAACAAGTGACACATTAATAAACACCAACACCCCACCCACGGTGAAGTCCCTGGTGAAGAAGAAAGCCAGCGGTCATAAAACAAAGCCCCCCCCCCGGAGAAGCTGCCTTACGAGAAGTCTGAAGAGGAATAAAAAGCGGTGGCACAAAAAGATTTGGATAACTAGTGGAAAAGTTTAACAGAATCAAAAGCTAGGAGGTTGGAACTTCAGAAAAAACCCACCAAAGCCGCACTACATAGCTCAACGAGAACTAAGGAAAAAATCAATGAGCGCGAGAAAAAGCAACGTGATGCACGTAAGCCCTCGCCATTATTGGACTATGAACGCTCTCTCGACAAGTCATATAAGGCGTCCTAGAAAGCGAAGAGAGCAGGGAAAGATGTTGCATAGCTCGGGCAGCAATCTAAGCAATCTATCGACCCACTAGTTGTTGAGGATGATTGTACAAACGCACAAGACGGTCGAATCGATGGGGAGGCACTCCAAGACTTCATAGTCACAACAGGTCTCACACCTCAACAACTCATTGGGGGAGGATCGATACCAACATCCAACTTTAATATTTATCGGACCTATGAGTATGGTAGGAGTCTTGTCAACCCTAAGTCCTTGTCATCACTGGGTACGCAAATGTTCTTGTTAAACAAGTGGTACTTAAGAGCATGTGACAATGAAAAGGCATGGCTTGTTGTCAGAATTAGACCAGAGCATTACTTCAATGGCTATGATGTTTTACATATTGAGTTCAATGAATTACACCAACTATTAAACTGGGACACTCTCGACAAATCTCTCCTTAGCTGCTGGTGTCTGTAAGTGATTCTTTCTACAATTGAAGTAACTTGCATGTTAGTTCATTGTCTATATATAGTTATCCTCACACTATATATATTCTTTTGTACTATATAAATGCAGATATGATATGCTGAAACTAAAGAGAAAAGGGTTAACTGATGTTGGTTTCATGGATCCGAATCGCACATTCAAGGACACGCTTACTCGATATGATAGATGGCGACCTCAAGTGGAGAATAATATGTTTAGGTTCTTAGATAACCAACATGATAAGACAATGATACTCTTCCCTTACAACTTCAAGTGAGTGTTAATGTTTTGTGCCCATTTTATTTTGCTTACTACATGTTGACTTTAGTTAATGAGTTATGCCTGCTTATAAACATGTAGCTATCACTGGATACTACTGGTCATCGATATGCCCAGGAGTATTGTAAAGATCTTTGACTCAGCGACAAAACCCCGAGAAGATTACCAAGAAATGATAGATATTCTCCAGTGGTAATTTCGGTCTCGCACACTGTATACTCTCTTATGCCATTTTATCGATATAACTCCATTTATTTATTTTGTCGGGCAGTGCTTGGAAAAGGTTCGCCAAGAAACGCCATTATGGCCATTGGAAAGTGTCTTTGAATGTAGTCCAATACCTAGTAAGTACTAGCTAGGTCACCGTATCTTTATCTAGTTCAATTCATTATTACCATGCTTCATTGGTTGATGATGAATCTTTTTCTCGTAAAGTGGTGTCTGCGGCAGGGATCGGGGAACAACTTATGTGGATACTACGTCTGTGAGTTCATCATGGACTACTCAAGGAGAACAAAAGTATGTAAAAAATATACATAATTTATTTATTACCATTGTGTTGATATATATATATATATATATATATATATACTTTTCCTTTCATTGGAATTGAAGATTAAATGGAGGAAGCAAAAGGTTATGCGATGTGACCAGATCAAAGCAATTCAAGAGGCATTGTCATGATTTCTTATGGATGAGGTCATAGATCCCAAAGGCGCGTACCACTATGACCCTAAAGAATTAATATCTAGTAGCCATACGACTGAAGATTAGGGTTGAATGAAATCCCAAGGACATGAGTACAAGGTTTTTGTGACTTTATTATGTACATATTCCATGCATGTACAACCTCTTGAAATATTTGTATATATGTAGTTTCATATATTTTAGTGTGTTATTTATGTATAATGCTCGAACGGAACTTATACGTGGATGTATATTAGCAGCGTAGAATTCGTATACGAAAATCTAATTAAAACCAAGAAGAATTGCATTGAAAAGAAACCATAAAATAAAAAGGAATGAAATAGAAAAAAGGAACCTTCAGTACCGGTTGGAAACACTAACTGGGACTAAACGTGCCAGTCCCGGTGCAATGTCTGGAGATAGCAACCGGGACTAAATATCCACTTTCAGTCCCGGTTCCTTCCCAGAACCGGAACTAAAGGGGGGTCTTTAGTCCCGAATTCGTAATCCTGATTGGAAAACCAGGACTAAAGGGGTTTTCCAACCGGAACTGATGCTCAGTCCTACACTAATGTGGGCAGATGGGGTTGGGGATGGGGAAAAGAAAATTGGGTGGATGTGGTGGATAACTGAGCAAATTGGGTGGGTTTGGTGGTGGTGGAGTGTTGGCCTTCGGAACGGACGAATAGGGAAGGAGATCGGGGTTGGGTAACGAGAACCTACCATTGACTGGGGTTGGAGCTATGGTCATGACCGAACCATAGGCCCTCTCCCGTGTAGTCAGCTCGACGCCAGTGGTTCCTGCAGGTGGGCGCGCGGGGACCGACTCCGAGGAGATGAACAAGCCCGGACCGGAAGAAGTATCAGCGTGATCCCAGAGTTTGGACAATTTCCACACCTCCAGCCGAACGTCGTCGAGGGTGCCCCCGACTCCAGGCCTCCATGTCGTGATTGCCCGAGTCGCCTCCTCCAATGCCTCGACCGTATCGTCCCGCTTGTCATGGATCTCGTTGACACGGATGAGCTCGAGATCGACGATGCGCTGCTCGAGATCCTGGACGTGTTCCTAGAAGAGGGACCCCCAGTTGTCGGCGACGACGGCATTGTACTGCGCGGTGCAGTACACCTCCAACAACGAGATCCGCTCCTCCATGGCATTATCCTTCTCCTTGTGGGCGGACTCCTCGTCAGTGAAGCGCTTCTCCCACTTCGCACACCGCTTGTCGAAGTTGTTGAACCTCTTGAACAATTCGTCGAACATGCTACTCACGTTGGGATCCATGGCTCCCCTTGCCTGCTGTAGCCTTATGTAGTGGTGGTGGATAGCCGGCGTAGTCTCCAGAACTCGCCGGCGCCGAGGAGCGACGACTTTGATACCAATGTCAGGATCGCACGATGGCGACCTGAGAGGAAGGCAGGGAGAGAGGAGCAGAGGAAGAAGGATGTAGCTTCCCGGTAGAGGGCCGGATTGACGATAGTACTGGATAGAGCTTAGGTTCAAAGTTGATTATAGACTCCAGCTTACTCCTAGTCCTACTTATCCCCCTCGGCTCCTGACCGACTCGTGCAAGAGGTACACGCCCAGTCGGGCCCAGACACACGCACGCTCTTGGACTGGGCCCGTGTTCCCCGCCTGGGCCTTGATGCTGCATCGGGCTGTCTAGGGTGTGGGCTGCTGACAGTTGCAACGAGACTTACAATTTATTACGCTGTGCTTGCGACAATTTAATGATAATGGGCCCGTGTTCCCCGCCTGGGCCTTGATGCTGCATCGGGCTATTTTGTTGAATTTATTTGGGATATATACAGGTCAAAGGAGAGAGCGCCAAAGCATCGCCGGTGCAGACCTCCTATCTGAAGTTAGCCAGCCAAATCGCAGCGGCCATGGTCTGGTTCGACTTGTGGCATTACACATGGCACCGAACCCTGCACACCAGCAGGTTCCTCTACCGGAACCTCCATTCGTGGCACCACCGTCTCGTGGTTCCCTACTCCTTTGGAGCCTTGTACGGACACCCCGTCGAGAGCTTCGTCACTGACGCTGCCGGTGGCACGGGCGCCTTCCTGGTGTCCGACATGTCGCCGAGGGCTTCCATCTTCTTCTTCTCGCTCTGCACCGTCAAGGTCATTGACAACCACTGTGGCCTGTCGCTGCTGCCCTGCTGGGATCGCCTAAGCTTCTGGAACAACGCGGCATATCACGATGTACACCACCGGCTGTGTGGCGGCAAGTACAACTACTCTCGGCTCTTCTTCGTGGTGTGGGACAGGATGTTTGGGACGTACATGCCCTTCGTCATCGAGGACAGAGGAGGAGGAATGCTCCAGGTCCGAGCACCTGGCCTTGACTACAGGAGAATCAACAAGTAATATCTCACATAAGTGTATCTTAAGGTTTAAGGTGTATATGATCATACTGTAGATCATATGAGCTAGTTTGTACATAAGTATGCAAGTATACATAGATTACGTGGTTATACTTATTTTATATACTACTATGATGATACCATAACAATATACTAAAAATGTGGGTTCGTTTGAAATTTTTCATATAGTAAGATTTGTAGTGTCTTAGATGAGTATATAAACATACTCAAACTGATAAATAAGTATAAGGTAGTTTATTAAAGATGGGAGTAGATACACCAGGGAGTATGAAAAACTCTCCCTTTCTCTCATATGATACTTCCAATACAGTTAAATGGAAGCCGTGTTAAATATTACCCAACCCAAGTGACTCACAGCACCAGCAATGACGCAGGCTAAATTGGCTAAAAATAGAATAAAGCAGGTAATACTAACTCGAATCAAACACAACTTAAATTGACTACAAATCGAACAAAGTAGGTAATACTAATACTAAATCGAACCAAACATAAAAATAAAATGAGAGGCTACTTTCCTTGGCTGGATATTGTTTATCCTTGCTGAGAGAGGATATTGAATAGCCTTGCTTATTTGGTTGTCTTACCTAACTATCTTGAAGCATGTGCGGGCAAGCTTTGCCTTGCTAGCTTGAGAGAGCCACCAGATCGAAGTACCAAGTAGCCTCCAAAGTTTTGACGCCACACCGAACCACGCCTTTTCAGCCACCACCGGATCCGCGCGCAGGCACGGCCGCAGTGCTGCGCCACCGTCGCCCTGACTCCCTGAGATCGCGCTGCCGCCTACCGCGTCGCCGGCTTCCGTCTGCTTGGTGGCCGCCGCGCTGCCGGCCAAGCTACCCGGCCGTGGCCGGTGCTTCCGCCCGCACGGATGCTTTCCTCTGCTTCCGTCCGCTGACCGCTGGGGACGACGACCCGACGCCGGACGACTGGGCCGAGCCGAGACGCCCCGACCCGACCCCAGACGACCGCGCCGAGTCATGTACGACGACCCGACGCCGGACGCTGTTGTTGCGCAGCCTCAGTTGGACCCACGCGCAAGCGTCAGTGGTGTGCCTGACACGGTAAAAGCGGGGTTGGACGATGTTGCCACTTCACAGAGTCTGTTGTCAAGTTGCTAATGATGATAACATTGCTCTTCTACGAGTAAGTACGCGGAGCTGTTTGGCTGATGGTTTTTTTTAGCTAATAAGCCTAAGTACGCGAAACTGTTCGGCTGATGATTTTTGCGGCTAATAAGCCAACTACAGTTATTTTTGTTACGAGAAAAAATATATATCATGACTGATAAGCCAGGTTGATAAGTTCAAACAAACCGAGCTATATATACTTGATATAGATAGAGAATAAACTCTTGTTCACATTTGCCGGATACTGTGATACAGTATACTTTGGGTTGGCCCAGCTGCAGCCTGCACTATAAAACTCTGCTGACGCTGACAACTGGGGCGGGGACCTCCTCATCAGTTTGTAGAGAAGTCTACGCTCTACGACACTGCACAGTACGATAGAGACTTGCCCTGACATGGGCGCCTTTCGGTTCTACATGTACACTGCCTATCCTAGCACGGACCGCGCAGCCACGAGCGCGCCGAGCCGCGGCCGCCGAACATCTCGTCGAGGGCGATGACGAGCCCCATGGCGAGCGGCGCGCCGAGGCGGGGACTCACCACGAGCCTGAACACGTCGTCGCCCACGGCCTCCTTGCGCCGCACCTCGGCCACGACGTCGCCGCGCGCGTCGCGCACGGCGCAGGCCCGGCGGCCGTAGGAGCCCTCCACCACGAACGCCTCGGATGTGGGCGTGGCGTTGGGCGTGACGACGTGCGCTAGCGTCTTGCCGCCGGAGGACTGGAGGCCGCCGACGTGGCGACGGATGGAGAGGAGAGGCGGCCTGCTGCTGCTGGCTGCGGCGTCGGCGTCGGCGCCGTCGTAGATGAGCCAGCGCTCCGCCAGGCTGAGCCTCTTGCGGCGGACGGTGAGGAGCGGCGCCCCCGCGGCGTCCATGAGCACGACCTCGGCGCGCCTGCGGGGGGCGGCGTAGCAGTCGACGCGGAAGGCGAGGCCGCCGTTGGCGTCGTAGACGGTGAAGCCGTCGCAGTTGAAGAGCAGAGACTTGCGCCACACCGTCAGCACCGTCGGCGGTTCAGGCTCTTGGTCCGCAGCAGCTCGGTTGGTGGTGGGTGTGGCGAGCTCTGCCGCGACGGCGGCGTTGGGGTGCACCTTGGCCATTGCTATTGCTCTCCTATGTTTCTGCTTGGACCTCTCCTAGTCGTCCTAGGTTTGTGTGTGCTGCTCTCACACTACCTGTTTGGAAATGATTTGCTTGGTTGGAGAGAGGAGACGTGGGGGGAATTTATACAAGCCGAATGGCATGTGGGAGCTGGGGGTGCGTGGGTGGCTGCGCCTGCGCGGAGACGGCGGACCGCATGTGGCCACGCCGCGCTCTGCTCCTGGTCCTGGGTGCCGGAACAGTCAAGCTGCGAATATACAGCCTGAGTAGTAGCTGGTAATTCATAGGCATTCGGCATTTCGCTGGAGGAATTGATTCTTGGCCACCCAGACCGCATACCGACTTGTCAATGTAATGCTCCGTCCACTTTTGTTTCGTCACTACCTCATCATCATGCACTCGGCATATACGCAAAGTTATTCTCAGCTGATAATATATGGTCGGCAAAAATAAAGCAATGCACAACAAAGGAAGCTAGAATAGAGGACTGGGATTTGGAAATGGCGAGACTGGAGATCAGTTGCGTCTGGGAGGGATTCAGATTCTACTAAAAATGTTTGGGGTCTAGATTCTCTGAAGAAATGTTTCGGACGATGAAACTGAATCGCTTTGTGAGATCGTTTGGCTAGTAGGCTATAGATTCTGATTCAAAAAAATGATTTTTATAAACAATCATATAAATAAAAAAATCTTTTAAAAAATCAGGACATTTTGTGGACGAAGAACAACTTAAATACAACCCATTTTAACTTGTTGCACTTAAAAAATAGGAACTAAAAAATTAGACTGGTAATATAGAGAGGAGCCAAGAAACAGAGTCAGAGGAGCCAAGAAACAGAGTCACACGGAACTACTCTGCAGCCCTTTCTGGTTTGTAGGCACGAATCGTTTCAAGTGATTTTTTTTTCGAATACGCAAAAGACTTACGCATCTTTTTAATTAAGGTAGAAAATTTTGATACAAATAACGCGCTTCTGACAAGCGCCCTACGAAGTCTGCAAGATTACAGCTATAGACTGAATTAACTATCCTAACAAACAGATAGACATTTCGATATTCTAAGTGATTCTTTGGTGAACCGTTTCTCCATGACTCCATCTACCCGTTTGGCAGAGATTTCGGTGTTTCGCACAAACGAAACGGCTCCGAGCAGCCAAAGCGGACCCTAAAGTTGTGCGCCGTAATATGCAAAGTTTATTCTCGGTTGATATGGTCGGCAAAAATAAAGCAACAAAGGAAGTTTGAGATAGCGGATCGGAAATGGCGTGCGAGTGAAGTTATGCCCTCTGAGTCAACCACAGGGTCACCATCCGTCACATGTACATGTACTGCTTGTTCTTTTTTTTCAGATAATGACATGTAGTGCTTCTACAGTTCAGTTCCATGTATGTGCTTTTGTTTTTTGTCATCATCCCATAGGCCGTGACTTTTTCAGGTTTGATAAGGTACTCACTCCTGCTGATTAAACTTTTTTAAGTTTACTTAAGTTGGTAAAAAATATTAGAAACATTTATATCTCCAAGTAAATTTATTATTAAAATACATTCATCCATTCATGAAATAATACTAATTATGCACCATTAATATTAATAATTTCTTATAATAATTAGTCAAAAATAAAAATGTTTGACTTCTGAGAAAGTGGGAATGATATTTTTTGGGACGAATTGAGTACACTCTTAGATCATATTTGGATCTCATACATTATACAAAAATGCATCTTCTTGTGGGCTTCACTGTTTTTGAGAATCCGAAGCCCTGTCAAAAAGGCCCAAACTAAGAATGACTCGTGCTAAGTGATGGAATTAAATCCAGATACATAAGTTCTATGGAAGCTAAAGTACACAGTTCAGACCATATATATAGTACTCTCTCTGTTCTTTTTTACATGTTACGTTAACTTTGTTTTAAATCAAACATTGGTATCGTTGACCATCCATTTCAACAAATTATAGTTTCACAATATATGAATTATATATTATGAAATTATTCTTATAGTAAATCTAAAAATATAAATCTTATGTCATGAGTTTATATTTTTTTTAAAAGAATTAATGGTCAAAGATGCAAATGTTTTGTTTGAGATAAAGTTAATACGTCATCCCTCCTCCGGTTTCAAATTCCTTGGATTACCTTTTAGCCAACCATCGTGCATGCACCAAGCTAGGTCTACAAGGATATATATATACCAGATCGGACAAAACTCCGCAGCTAGCTTGCATGGAAAATTGGGCTGGGTGGCTACACATTTTCATGTTATATATAGTACTGTCCTTAGTCCAGCGTGCTGCCGACTCGATATATATGCTCCATATCTTTCGGTCCGCGTCTCGACCGATCGGTACACAACTACACATGCGTGCATGCATGCATCTATCATACACAAACGAATCAAGAAGTGGGTACTGATCATATATAGTACTACGTTGTATCGCTCCATTTCAAATCGTGAGTCGATTAAGTTCTGTTTGGAATCAAATTTATCTGATTTTTATCTAGTTTAAAAAATATATATTTTAACATCTACAGTATCAAATAAAATGTATTTTATATTTAAATATATTTCATAGTGTATCTAGCGTGAATCTTATTTGACTTTGTAGACGGTCATGTACCATTTTTTATGAGTATATATGAAGCTAGCTAAAACGACTTACAATTTGGTTAGAACTAATTAACCAAATTAGATAAACGCATTATCAGAATAATTTAGTATAGGAATTATTGGAATATATTTCATGTTGTATCTATAGC